CACCTGGGGGGTAAATGTATATTATGATAATGTATTGAAACATAGATAGTTCCTTGTTTATTCAGATGATCCTCACAACAACTCACCAATATTTCGGAAAATCTGGGTTATGTAATCATGTGGAATAACACATAATATCTTTATAAAACTACTCGACTCAGCATTAAGGGAGGGAACTTTTCTATTATCGTCTATATGCCCATATAGCATTACACTTAAAACTCATATAAAAACTATATCACTCGCAAAATTATCATGTATTTATTCATCTCCTCTCATTTTTCAGAAGAACTTCATAATTTTATTGTAGTGTAGGACTTCTTTAGAGGACATGTCTTTATGTCAATAGGGGAATGTATCCACTGTATATTCTTATACTCCCTTATGCATAAAAGGGGCTATGGATAACAATTAACATTCTACATCCTCCTGTGGTGAATAAGGAGACGCCCGTTATAGCATCATGTATAGTCTTAGATACGGACAAAAATGAAGTTATTGTACGATTTATTATACTCCATGAACTCAGCACAGATTCAAGATATTATCTGTCCTTATTCCTTTGTTTATATGTTAGAAAACATGAAACTCCCGATTTCATATCTCTAGTTTGTCAGAGGGAAAGATTTGCTGCTCACAGTATTCCTCAGGTGTCATCCCTACTGTGTTTTTTGGTTCTATGCTTTGGGTGTAGTGTATAATCTTTATCCCCTGAGCATATTTCCCTGTCTCCTCTCTTGAGTTGTTGTCTCTTCTGTATGTATTAATTATGTACCTTTCTTCTTAAGCATCTCCACCTTGATCGTCATGTTGATATCTCCACTGGTTTGTGGTGTATTTATATGGTCTTACATATATCTCTCTCCGTCCTCTGAAGTAGATAATTTTCTCATATATGTCTGTTGTATTCGTATATACATTCTATCATAGTCATCCGCTCCTATATGGTTCCTCCCCCCCTTTTTAGATTAATGATTCTTTAATATCTTATGTGTATTCTTATTCTTATGCTCACTATATCCCCTTGGCGCGTTCCATGTTATTATTCTTCCTAACTCTCCACGAGAAACAGTTTGTTCTATATAGTACTATTCCTTTTATAATTTCCTATTCTTCCATAGGGTATAAGAAGTTTAATCTTCCATTTTACATAATTGTTACATTTTAATAGTACCGAATCGATTTCGAGTGTTGTTAAGAGGAAAATACTACAGATTAAAGCAGGTGTGCGAATCTTCCGTAATCATTTTTTCTTAATAGTACCCGGATAATTATTGAATATATGTTACAATAATATTGAGAGGGAATATTCACAGTTCACGACGTATTACCGTACTTACAGTATTACTTTGCCTATAAAAAGGTGTTCCTATATATAAGCAACCTTTGTATGTTGAAACCCCCTTTTAGTGATAGTATCCCTCAGTTTCCTATACAGAATGAATAGCCTTACGATTGGTATATGCGTATTCCTGGAATGGAATTATTTTACAAGCCAGTGTATTGGTGAAATGGTATGATCTTTAGGACTGTTGTCCTCCTCAAGGAATTGGACTCTCTAAACCTCTGTATTATCTTAAACAATTTTCCTCCTTACACAGCATTGTTTTACATAGAATATTACCCTTGACAGAGGCTTATCCTCTAAGCAGTTTTTGTAAGGCTAATTCTTACTGTTAATACAAATATACCGGAGGCATCCTGTATGTTCTATATATCTGTAACGCTTCGTGATTGGAACCCCTCCAAGAATACGGCTGCATCCACTCTATTATCTCCTACTAAATATCTTTTTTTAAATTATGGTGCTTCCTGCTCTAAATCTTGACGACTCCACAATAGGGACTTCCCGGATTTTCCTACTGTTTCTGCAGTGATACTCTAGAGAAATGTCTCCTTCTCACATACTTAATAATGGTCGCGAAAAATGTATTCCTTATATATTAGTCTTCCAAGGAAGTGTATATCCTCCGCCTCATTCTATTCTTCAAATAATAGCACCTGTTGTCCTAACTTTTCCATATAAACGTATTCCAGTCATAGAATCCCCACGATTATGCTTCTGATATCATGGTTCCCCATCGAGATGTGTTATCTTCAGCCAATAATAGTCTACAAATAAAAAAAACTGTAAAATATGAACCTGGTGCAGAATAATATTCAGGAGAGATGTATACAGTACACAAAATAATACTGGAGGTATAGACGCATGGTTCATATAATAGGGCTGTATGCTAAGCTTACATTCCACAGGCCTGTAGTCCTGGGGGGAGCGATAGTTTTTAAATAATACTACACATAAATCATTATTCCTCAATTAGTCACGATTTTCAATTAGTCGTATCTAAAACGCTATGTTATGAGGCCTTCACATAAAAGCATTCCTGCGACACTGTACATTACAAACAACATTTCCGCTAGAATCTTTGTATTGTCCATAGGCAAGTATTTCTGTCTCCATTTTATTACTCCGGCAACAATACATTCGACACAGCTATAGCGCTTGCACCTGCACGTAATTAATGACTTGCTCTTTTCTTTAGAATGTAGCCCTTAATTCTTCACATAATACTATTTCATAGAGATCTATACTCATCGATGATTGGTGTTGCCCAAATAATAGGAACCTAAATTTGGAACAGATAGGCCGTAATTCACACACTTTTGCATTTTCGATGGGCATATTGTAGGAAAATCCTTATCTTTCAAAGATCGGTTCTTGAGAATATCCGTATCCCTCCTACAATACTGTATTTTGAATATCACTGGACTCCACAGAATGCCACTTCTCATTTTCCCTGCTGTCTAGATATCATATGAGTGCAGGGACAATAATTTCTTTCAAATTAATGCGATACAAGCTCTGTCTCAGTTGTAAAATATTTTCCCTTCCTTACAATAACAACATAACCGGTAAACCTATACAATAATATTCCTGATACAGCTGTATTCTTTACCAGCATTGACATTTTAGACACATGTGTACTGTTTATATCATCATACCTTTCATATAATAATACATCAGGTATATTTCTTTATTTCATTTAATGGTTTTATTCATACAATATCATCGTAGGCATGGATGACGGATAAAGATAACGATACGGCCTGTATGTCCATACACTTTAAGGAATAGTAGTCTCGGTAGAGTAGTACTGAGTTCACAATATAATTCCTAACATATCAATACTTCGCGCACATCTGCACTATCCACATAATAGTACTCTGGTAATATCACGGCTGAAAGCGAATAAATAATTTGCACACAATAGTATTCCACACACATGTGTACACTTTCTCGAGCGGTACTCCCCCAATCATGCAGTTCCACACATTATACGGCTGTTAATATAATAACACTCCAGGGAGTGTTATGAACTCCGGAATAGGGTGCTTTCCCTGTAATAGAAGCCTAAACAGTAGGCCATGATGTTCCACCTCTTTTAATAATTGTGCATGGGGGATATCCAGAATCCCACAACAATTGTGCACTCCAGGACATCACACTAGGGAGATATGAGTACACTCACAGGACTGCACCGCAAATCATCCGTACGTTCTATACAATTATGCCCCAAAATGGGCAGTACTTTCCAGATATCACTATATCTCATCCATTAATACCTTCATATAACAGTACTACGAGAATCTCCGCATTCGTCAACATGGGAAATGGGGACACATGTATACTTCCTTATCATCTACCCTTGTAGAATATGCATGCACTTCATAGAATATTACCCTAAGAATAATGACACCCCTCGAAAATCAGTATTCTTGACACTATAATACGGTTAACAATATTGTAGCCCTGGCATAGCTCTACTGTTTAAACAATATGATTTAAGGCCACTTGTCGGATCTGCCGAATCGCCCAAGTCATATCATCCAGCCATTATACCAACATGACGACCCTTCAAATAATGCTATTCCAAGGACAGTTGTACTCATCAGGACAAACTATTCTGTACATAACATCAGTGTCCTTGAAGTAATCGTGAAATTCACACATCCATCTGTCCCACAGAAGTTTACCCCCCATACTGAGGTACTATGGCAATTGTCACACGTTCCGTAACGGTTGGAACCTCCTGATACGGCACAAAGCTAAGTCATAAATTCTGCACCCCCACTTATTTTACTTAATAATACGGGATTAACTTTGCCACTCATCAAATGGCATGGTACAAACCATATCAGGCATCTTTAGATATGAGTGTTATACATACATCTGTAGTGTCCCCATAACAGTACTCCAAGTCATGAATACTCCTTCAGCAAATATCCTGTTTAGATATCAATATTATCGGCACAACATTACTGTAAACAGAACGGTACCTCCTGCATAATTGTACTCCTCCAAAGAATCGTACTGTAAGGGTAATCTTACTTATAAAGGCAGGGAACTCCACACATCATGCTTCCGTCTGTATAATAGCACTCCAGGTGATCCATATAGCTCGAGTACTAATACCTTCATAGAAGAGTACTATGCAGACTTCCCGACCGCTCATCATTAAGAATTCATATACATCCACAGTTTCCAGACAATAGTTATACTGGAATATCCATCCAGTTCACACAACACTCCTATTCATATAGTGAAGGCATAGACCTTGAATCCTTCACATACACTAGTACATGGACGACTGTACTCCTGACATAATAATAGTACACGTATAACCACGCGCATCACTACAAAGGAAAATCCACCCCAGTATTGTACAAATCATGGTACCCCAAGTGCAGCTTCTGTTTTCAAATACCAATAGAATAACGGTGTTACAATTCTCCACACGTAAATATTACGAACTCTTTGGTAGGTTTCATATACAGTGAAACTGGAGGATATCCGTACCCCTTACGTAGAAGTACTCCTTATATATCTCTCTTCCAAGCGGCTTCCAAGGTTCGAACGATTTAGTTGTTCGTACAGTACCTGTATACTCCCTGAACGCGCGTATAATAATACTGCTGGTACAGCTGTATACTTCACAATCATGGACACGTGCGATATATTCCAGCGGCTCAGACACTTGTTCTCCTTATATAATACTACAGGAGGTATATCTGTGAAGTTCATCCAATGGTGTCATTCATATAACAGTATTTTTGAGATACAAGTACACTGTAGAAATAATGATGCCCCTTGCATGTCATTACTATTTAAATCATATTACTTCGGCCACAGTAGTACTCATCCTCACAATGTTATTGTTGGCATATCAATACTTCGGACACAAGTGGAGTATTTACTTGACGGTACCATGGGAATATCAACACACGAAGCTAAGAAGTTATTCTCACACAAGCGTAATTTAAGGACATCCCTACACATCGTATAGCGATGTTGCTAAAGTCAGGCATATTGACGCGATGCACTACTGCTAATATAATAATACTTCAAGGACTGCTACAAGTTCGAGACAGTACTGTTCTTCGTATAATACAAGCCGAAATCCTGCCCCTCGATTTTCAGATCCTTCAGATAATTGTGCTTCTGGCACATCCATAATGTGCGCACAACTCTGCTTCTTAAATGACAGTACTACGTACATAGGAGTATACTCACAAGATACAGTTCCAGATTATGCATCCTTCCTACGGAGGTATTCTATTCAGAAAACAATGCACAACAGATATTACCACAGCTCAAGTATTAGTACATTCATATAAGAATGCAGGACGAGACTTCGGCAATCTTCACCATTGGAAATTCATACACATCCGTATTGTGCACGAAATTGCTCTGCTGCCATATCAATACAGTTGACGGAATATTTCTCTCTAAATGACACTCGTGGAATATCAATATTTCACACACAGAAGTATGGTTCACATCATAGTACTCCTGGCACCATACTACCATCGAAATAATGGTGTCCTCGACATTCTCTAAGGGTTTTATAGTTCTGTACTTCATATAATTGGACCATTAAACTTAAATAAACACCCTTTACATAATGGCACCTCAAAGGAAGCCATGCTCATCTAGGCACAACATTCCATACATAACCGTAATAATCTTCGAAAGATGGAGCATTGAACAGGTCTATGCGGTTTACACCATAGTACGCTTCATATAAAACTATTACGGAGACGGTCGTACCCTCTATGTTGTAACTCTCTGCATATGATAGAACATTATTCCATATATCTTATCGACTTTAACATACATTACTTCACAGTACGGTCGTAAGTTTGTCACTCTTCGAATAATAACGTACCAGGCATCTGAAGACTCCGCAGATATGAGTACGGCATATACTTATTCACTCTTCACAGAATGATATTTCGAGTTATTAATACTTCCCATAGAACGGTATACCTCAAAGGAAGGTATTATTCAAACGAGAGTATTATTAACATAACGGTATTACTTGTACACGCGTACTTCATAAAGAATAGTACCACAGATATAGTCCTACTAATGAAGGCACATAATGGTAGATAGAATGGTACCCGTAGCACAATACCATTTCTGGAAGATTAATACTCAGGACAAGGAACTTAACTTGACATAATCATACTCCCGGAGTAGCAATACTCTTTAAGTAATAGTATTACAGATGGGCCCTAGGAGGGCCGCAATCCTTCCCGTCATGTAATGAAGTCATTAGACTTACATCAAGACACTTGACATCCTGGTAATCCAACAGGAGGCCTACTCTTCGGGGTACACCGCTTGCCACATAACAGTAGTCCTCTCCAATTAACAGTGCACTTCACACATTAACACCCTCGAGGCAGAGGTATTCTTCACATACAAATAGTACTGGAGCTTGTGCACCTTTCATTCCATCTTTGGGTGGATAGTCGAAGGTTAGGCTACATACATCCTATAACCCGAATACATCACTTAATACGACTGTCTCGACTTCGCCACCATCCATATAGCAGTGTACCAAGCATGTCACGTATCTCCAGATATGAGTACTATACATACGTTTGTAGTTCTCTTACATTTCCACTGCAAATCATGAATACTCACTAAGAGACAGTTCTATTCAAATAGAGGCTTTATCAACACAACAATATCATTAAGTCACGGTACTCTTCGAAGAGACATACTTTTCCATAACAAACTAATTCGAATATAATAATATTCATTAGGGGACATTCCACAGCACATAATCGTGGCCCGTAGTATGATAACACTAGAGGTGATGAAAATAGCTGAGCTAATACGACGTTTACATAACAATACAATGGCAATTTTGGGATTCCTCACCATTGAAAATCCAGACACGTCAATATTGTTTAAGCAAAAATTCTGGAATATCCATGCACTTCACATAACAGGATTACACCTACATCCGGGCGTCGCATTAGCATTAAAGAAGCACACCAGTATTATGCAAAGGAGAGCACCCCAAGAGCGCTTGTGCTCCTGATGTAACGAAACGATAAGCATGCCAATACTCTGCATATATGAGTACTACGAAAACCTCAGGAGCCTCTCTGCGATAACACTTCAAGAAATTTCTTACCCCTGACAAAACTCTGCTCTGTAATTAAGAGGGTTATCTAGGTAAGACTATTTTTCACATAATAGTATTCAATGCATATCATGACTTTTAAAGGAATAATCCACCAAGCATAAAAGTGCACTCTCACACATCGATAGATTATTCATGTCTAGTAATGTTACCACATCAGTATCGTCATGCTATTTATACTTCACATACGTGGCCATCCTCATAAATCGCCAAAGGAAGGAAATAACCTCATAATGGCTTCACATAGAAAAAAAAAAAATAGGTCCATCAGAATGTTAGGGAACAAAAATCTCTAATAAAGAACAATGACATACAATACAACATATCCGGAAGACTGCAACCAGGAGGGCCTCTTCACAATGATGTAACGTGAAGAAACCTTTTGACGCGAATCGATGCAAAACCCCATCTTCAAAACAACGAAACCAAAAAACGTCGGGAAAATACCAGGAGAGAAAAGAATCTTCATAAAAAGAATAAAGGACGCAACAGCATCTTAACCATGCAGCGGAAGACGAGCATATTCATAAAGCAAATCACACACGAGAAAACATCTTCAAGATGCCGCAAGAAAAGTACATCGTCGTAGAAAACCTGACACACAAAGAAAAATCTTCACAATGCCGCGGGAGGAGGAACCATCCATATAGAAGAAATGACACAAAACAATATATTCAAGCTGCAGCCAGGAAATAGAATGATAAAAAATGCCGCGAAACAGAAATATCTTCATAAGAACAATGCCTCGGGAGGAAATTCCATCGCAATAACATGATAAAAAGAAAAGAGCACTTTTAGAAAAGAGTCGAACAGAGGAATATCATCCATATAACGCGGTAAAAAGAATCTTCCTAAGAAGGCAACACCGGCAAAAATTCTCATAATGACATGGCCCGGGAAACTTCATCACAACACCCTAGGACGACACTATCGTCAGAAAGGAAATACAAGAAACCCAAGAATCTTAATAGTGACACGACAAAGGAAACAATCCTTATAAAAATGGCGAGCGAAAGGATATATTAAAAGTACGGCGCAGTAAAATAAATAATGAGAAAAAGGATGCCCCACGGGGAAAATACCTCACGATGACGCAAAATAAAAAAAGAGAACTCCATAAAAATGGAACAGGAAATATCATCCTGGAAAAGGAGCCACACGCAGAAACATCTTCATATTAACACAACAGGAAGGATATAGCTATGCGAAAATGTAACACAAAGAAGCATTATTATAATGACATGCCAGATATAAGCATGGTTAGAAAAATGCAACACAAGGAAAAAGAATCAGGGTGCTGCGGCGAAACAGTACACATGAAAGTGACGTAACACCACAGAAGCAGAATGATCCGGAGGGAGAACAACATAACAGTGCAGGAGAAGAGATGCAACATGATGAAAATGCTACACAAAAAGAATCGTGATAAAAATAAAGCACATAAAGGCATATTCATAGAACTGCCAGGAGGAGTGGTATCTTCATAGAGGTACTGCGAAAAATGTCATTATAAAGGAACCCTCCAAGGAATTTTCGTCAAGGAGATGCAGCAAAGAAGTGTATCCTCATGAAAGAGTTTAGTAGAGAAATATATATAATAAAGCCAAAGAACCCAG